ATTGAATCAAGTCAGTAGACTAACAGAACCAATCAAGCACACTCTGAGACTTTTCATTTAAGTCGAATGTCCTTTCAGCTCTGATTTCTAGCTGTCTTTTCAGGCTGGTAAGTTTGTTCACAGTTAGGATCAGTTGCCGCTGGCCTGTTGTGAAGGGCAGTTCAGATCACTCAGTTCACCACTGCCCCATTCACCACTCAGATCTGGCCTGTGTTCATTTTTCCCCTTTCGGTGTTGTTACCTTGAATTGCCAGCAGGTGGTGTTATCCTTCACTCCAGATGGTCTTTATCTCAGCTACTCGCCGGCCCCTAAGGGGAGGGCGATGTTGCCTCAAGGCACACGGGAGGAGACCCATGGCCTGGTGGGACATCTCAGTGGTAGTAGACCTCAGCAGATCTTGCTCGCAGGGGCTTCAAGGTCTGACGTTGTGGATCACCTCAGGCACAGGCATGTGATGTGGAATGGCTGCCTCGGTGGTGGCAGCAGCAGGCGGTGGCGGCTTGCCTCAGGCACGGGCGGTAAGATGTGGAATGGCTGCCTTGGAGGCAGCAGCAGCAGCAGCGGCAGCCATAGTAGCTGCCCAGACCCCGGTGATGCCTCAGCGAAGTCTACTGCCGAGCTCCATGTGAATAGCAGGCTGCCGATGATGGGATCTGCAGCCTCAGTGCCAAGGCTAAACTTAGCCAGCTATTTCCTCCTTTGGGTTACAGAGTCAGCACCAGCTACCTCTGGGAATAGGGCTCACCCGAGCTGAGGTCTGAAGGAGTAACATTTAAGTGGCTTTCACAAAACTGTTTCATTCATAGTAGGCTGCTTAGTCACAGATAGATCATCTGTCTATAACAGATAACCCAACAATCTCAGTAGCTTAACACAACAAAGATCTATTTATTGCTTACTACATGGGTGTGAGGTTCCTGGTCATTCTAGGACCAGGGTTCTTTTTAACTAATGGCTCTGCCATTCTCTGCGACAAGGGTCAACAAAGTTTTTCTGTAAAGTTTCAGATAGTAAATATTTTAGACTTTGTGGGCCACACAGTCTCTGTTGTAACTACTCAAGTCTGCCATTATGCACAAAAACAGCCATAGAGTCGGTCATGGTGTCATGGGCCGGAATCCCAGCTACTAGGGAGGTTGAAGCAGGAGGATCACTTGAGCCCAGGAGTCTGAGGCTGGAAGGTGCTATGATTGCACCTGTCAGTAGTCACTGCTCTCCAGCCTGGGCAACATAAGACCCATATAAAACAAAATCCAGTCATAGACAGTATGGAAACAAATTTTGCTGTGTTCCAATAGAACTTTTTTTGCAGACAGTGAAACCCGAATGTGATATTTTCACGTGTCACAAAATAGTATTCTTTTAAAACTTTTTATTTAAAAATGTAGAAACATTATTTGCTTGCAGGCAGTACAGAAATAGGCATGGGCCTGGCTTGCCCTGCAGACTGGAGTTTGCCAACACTTGCACTAGGGCCTTCATCCAGGCCTCTCAGTTCTTTCTCTGCATTGGGTACATCCAGGTGGCAACCACGGGTATTGTGGGAGATTTTAGGCACCAGTCCTAGATCCCACATCACCACCTACACATTTCATGACCAGAATTAGTCACAGCCCCACCAGGACACAAAGGATCCACAAGGTACAGTCTTCTCTGTGTCCAGGAGGAACATGGAATGACATGGGGAGCACACAATATCATATTTTCCACCAAATAATTTTTCTACATTTACCATTCCTCTTGCCTTTGCTTAAAATGTTCCTCCATTTCCTTTTCCATTTCCCAACCTAGATGGTTCAACTTCCCAAGTTTACCTATTACAATATGATTTTTCTTTCAGATACAAATGTCTTTGTGAAGCTTGTCATGATTCATCCAACTAAATAGTCTCTTTCCTTTGAATCACCAAAGAAATTTGAACTTCTCACATCACTTTATCATATAGGATGGACATTTGTGAACTCTTCTTCTTTCCACCACCAGATAATAAACTCCCTGAGGGTTGATATTACTCATTTTTTAATAACAGTTTTATTGAGATATAACCCGCATACTGTAAAAATCACCATTTTTTGTTGTTGTTTATTTGTTTGTTTGTTTGTTTGAGTTGACGTCTTACTTTGCCCAGACTGGAGTGCAGTGGCATGCTCACAGCTACCGCAGTCTCAGCATGCTGGGCTCAGGTGATCCTTCTGCCTCAGCCTTCCAAATAGCTGGAACTACAGGCACGCGCCACCATGCCTGGTTAATTTTTTTATTTGTTGTAGAAATGAGTTCTTGCCAAGTTGCCCAGGCTGGCCTCGAATCCTTGGGCTCAGGCAATCCACAGTGAGAACCTTGACCTCCCAAACCATAGGCTTAGGCAATCCAAAGTGAGAATCTTGGCCTCCCAAAGTAGGGGGATTGTAGGCGCGAGCCACCATGCCCAGCAGAAGTCACGGTTTGAAAGTGTATAATTCAATGTAAAATGGTGCAGCTGCTATGGACAATATTATGGCAGTTGTTAAAAAAATTAAAATCAGAATTACCATACGATCCAACAATTCCACTTCTGAAAGCAGGGACTCAAACAGACATTTATAGACTCATGTTCATAACAGGTGATTCATATAGCCTAAAGGTGGAAGCACCCCAGTGTCCATTGAAGGATGAACGGACAAACAAAATAGTATATCCATACAGTAGAATATTATTCAGCCTTAAAAAGGAAGAAAATTCTGACACATGATACAACATGGATAAACATTGAGAACATTATACTAAGTGAAATAAGCCATTCACAAAAGGGCAAATACTGCACGATTCCACTTATATGAGGTACCTGGAGAAGTCAGATTCATAGGGACAGAAAGTAGAATGGTGGTGGCCAGAGGCTGAGGGGGACAGGAAAAGGGGGATTTATCATTTAGTGGATACAGAGTTTCAGTTTTGCTATTTGGAGGAGTTCTGATGATATCTGTACAACATTGTGAATGTATTTAAACACCACTGAATCGTACACTTTAAAATGGTTGTGATGATAAATCTTATGTGTATTTTGCCACAATTTTTAAAAATAAAAAATGCAAGGCGAGTGGATTGCCTGATCCCACAGGTTCGAGACCAGCCCAGGCAACTTGGTGAGACCTTATCTCTACAATAAATAAATTAAAAATTAGCTGGGTGTGGTAGCGCCCGCCTGTAGTTCCAGCTACTTGAAAGGCTGAGGCAGAAGGAGCGCCAACGTCCAGCAGGTCGACATTGGGGTGGGCATGAGTGTGCCACGCATTCCAATCTGGGTGACAGAGTGAGACTCCGACTCAAAAAAAAAAAAAAAATGCGGCCAGGCACAGTGGCTCAAGCCTATAATCCCAGTACTTTGGGAGGCCGAGGCGAGAGGATTGTCTGAGTCGAGAGGTTCGGGATCAGCCTGGGAAACTTGGTGAGACCTTGTCTCTACAATACATACAAAAATTAGCCAAGCATGGTGGCACGTGCCTGTAGTTCCAGCTACTTGAAAGGCTGAGGTGGAAGGATCGCCGGAGCCCAGACACTGGGGTGGCTGTGAGCGTGTCACTGCACTCCAGCCTGGCCAATGGAGTGAGACTCCGGCTCAAAAAAATAAAATAAAATAAAATGTATAATAACAATATCATCAAAAAGGAGCACAATTCAATGATTTTTAAATATTCACAGAGTTATGCAACCATTGCCACATCAATTTTAGAATATTTTCATCACCCCAAAAAGAAATCCCCAATGCATTAGTAGTCACTCCTTATCACCCTTCCCCCCAGCCCCTGTAAACCACTAGTCTACTTTTTGTCTCTATGGATTTGCCTGTTCCAGATATTTCATATAAATGGAATCATACAACATGTGACTTTTGTGTCTGGCTTCTTTAACTTAGCATAATGTTTTCAAAATTCATCCACATTGAAGAATTACTATTATTTTATTTCTTTTTTGGACTGAATAATATTCCACTTTTTGTGTATCTGTTCATCAGTTGATGGACATTGGAGTTGTTTCTACTTTTTGGCTATTTTGAATAATGCTGCTATGAGCATTCATGTACAAGTTTTGTATGGTGTATGTTTTCAGTTTTCTTGGAGAGAGAGAGAGATATATATATGGTAACTCTGTGTTTAATATTTTGAGTAGTTGTTAAATTATTTTCCACAGCAGCCACACCATTTAAAAATCAGCTGGCAATGTATCAGGATTCTAATTTCCCCACATTTTCACTAAAACCTGCTATTGTCTGTCTTTTTCATCATAGCCATCCTAGTGGGTGTGATGTGTTATTTTACTGTGCTTTTGAGTTCACTTCCTTAGTGACTAATAAAGTTCAACATCTTTTCATGTGCTTATTGGTCATTTGTATTGCTTCATAGAAAAATGTTATAGCTCCTTGGCTCATTTTTAAAATAGGTTGTCTTTGTATTGTTGAGTTATAAGAGTTCTTTATGTACTCAAGATATCTTAAGTTCCTGATCAGATGTATGATTTTCTCCTGTTCTGTGAGTTGTCTTTTCACTTCCTTTCTAGTGTTCTTTGAAATACAAAGGTTTTAACTTTGATGCTCAATTTATCTATTTTTTTCTTTTGTTGCTTGTGCTTTTGGTATTATAACTAAGAAATGATTGCCTAATCCAGGATCACAAAGATTTACCTATAAGGTTTACTCCCAGATTTAATTCTAAGAATTGTATAGCTTTAGTCCTTAACATTTAGGTCTATGATCCATTTTGAGTTAGTTTTTGTTTTCAATGTGAGGTAAGAATCCATTCTTTTACATATGGATATCCAGTTGTCCCAGCATCATTTGTCTAAAAAACTATTGTTTCCCATGGAATGGTCTTGACACCCTTGTTGAAAATCAATTGACCATAAGTGTATGGGTTTATTTTTTACTCTCAGTTCTATTTCATTGATCTGTATGTCTATTCTTATGCCAGTACTGTATTGTCTTGAATACCATAGTTTTGTCATAAGTTTTAAAATTGTGAAGAGTGAATCCTCCAACTCTATTCCCTTTTTCAATACTGTTTTGGGTCTTCTGGGTTCCAGATGAATTTTAGGATCAGCTTGTTAACTTCTGCAAAAGACCAGATGGAATTTTATAAGAACTGTATTGGCTCTGCAGATCAATTTGAAGAGTACTGCCACCTAACAATATTAAGTCTAATTCATTAGCACTGGATGTGTTTTTATTTATTTAAGTATGCTTTAATTTCTAATCTTTTATAGTTTTCAGTGTACAAATATTCCTATTCTTTGTTAAATTTATTCATAAGTATATTATTCTTTTTGATGCTATTGGAAGTGAATTATTTTCTTAATTTTATATTCAAATTGCTCATTGCTAGTGTATATAAATACAATTGATTTTTGCATATTGATTGTATATTTTATAGCCTTGTTAGAGTCTCTTATTCTAATAAGCGAATTTTAACTTTTGTATGTGTGAATTCTAGTCATTTTTATATCCTCTGGAGCCCTTAACAGTGCTTAGTCTTAACTAGTACTCAATCCATTTGTGTTCCTTGAATCAATCTCTTTACATGCCTCATTGTCACAGACATCTTCCATCCAGTAAGTAATTTCCAGTTCCTAGTACCACTGAATCATTCTTTTTCTACTTCATTCTTTATCTGCAGGCTTGGGAACAATGGGCCGTGGCATCGTCATATCTTTTGCAAAGGCCAAGATCCCTGTGATTGCTGTAGAATCAGACAAAAAGCAGTTAGAAACTGCAAACAAGATAATAACCTCTGTCTTGGAAAAGGAAACATCCAAAATGCAGCAGAGTGACCAACCTTGGTCAGGACCAAAACCCAGGTTAACTTCATCTATGAAGGATCTTGGTGGTGTAGATTTAGTCATTGAAGCAGTATTTGAGGAAATGAACCTGAAGAAGCAGGTCTTTGCTGAACTGTCAGCTGTGTGCAAACCAGAAGCTTTTTTGTGCACCAATACCTCAGGCCTGAACGTTGATGAGATTGCTTCTTCTACTGATCGCCCTCACTTGGTCATTGGCACCCATTTCTTTTCACCAGCACATGTCATGAAGTTGCTCGAGGTTATTCCCAGCCGATACTCTTCCCCCACTACCATTGCCACTATTATGAACTTATCAAAAAAGATAAAAAAGTTCGGAGTGGTTGTAGGTAACTGTTTTGGGTTTGTGGGGAATCGGATGTTGAAACCTTATTACAATCAGACGTATTTCTTGTTAGAAGAAGGCAGTAAGTCAGAGGAGATTGATCAGGTGCTGGAAGAGTTTGGCTTTAAAATGGGACCTTTTAGAGTGTCTGACCTAGCTGGGTTGGATGTGGGCTGGAGAATTCGGCGGGGGCAAGGTCTGACTGGACCTACGTTGCCTCCAGGAACTCCTGCCCGAAGGCGGGGCAGTGATAGATATTGCCCAATTCCTGATGTGCTCTGTGAATTAGGACGATTTGGCCAGAAGACAGGTAAGGGTTGGTATCAATATGACAAGCCATTAGGTAGGATTCACAAGCCTGATCCCTGGCTTTCCCAGTTTCTGTCACAGTACAGAGAAACCCACCACATCAAACCACGTATCATTAGCCAGGCTGAGATCCTTGAGCGCTGCTTATATTCACTTATCAATGAAGCATTCCGTATCTTGGAAGAAGGAATGGCTGCTAGCCCAGAGCACATTGATATTATCTATTTACATGGGTATGGATGGCCAAGGCACAGGGGCGGGCCCATGTTCTATGCCTCCACAGTTGGGTTGCCCACAGTTCTAGAGAAGTTGCAGAAATATTACAGGCAGAATCCTGATATTCCTCAACTGGAGCCCAGCGACTATCTAAAAAAACTGGCTTCCCTGGGAAATCCTCCTCTAAAAGAATGGCAGAGCTTGGCAGAGCCCCCTAGCAGTAAGTTGTGATTCAGCCTTCCAGGTGATGCCTCACATGCTAGCACCAGTTAATACCCACTGAATTTCAGTGAACTTAAATCCAAAAATTCAAAGTAAGATTGCTCTGAAATACAAAGCAAAATAAAGAATCAGTCAGCTAAACCTCCCCTTTGAGCTTTCTGTCTGACCACTCTAGTGGGTCAAATTTTTAGGAATATGCTTCCTATGCCTCAGAATCTGTTCCAATCAGATAAATTTAGTCAATAAACTTGTGTGAACATAATAGCTGTTGAGAGAGCCTCAGGAATAAGTTGAGGTTCCCAAGTATTTTGATCACTGGAGAAATATGTCATCAATTAATAAATGATAAATGGGTCAGGTATGGTGACTAATGCCTATAATCCCAGCACTTTGAGAGGCTGAGGCGGGTGGATTGCTTGAGCCCAGGAGTTCAAGACCAGTCTAGGCAACATAATGAAACCTCGTCTCTCCAACAAAATTTCGGAATTATTAGCCAGGCATGGTGGCACATGCATGTAGTCCCAGCTACTCAGGATACTGGGGTAGAAGGATTGCCTGAGCCCAGGAGGTTGAGGTATTTTTATTTTAATACATAAAAATTTGTACACAAGCTGGGCTCGGTGGCTCAGCCTGTAATCCCACACCTTTGGGAGACTGAGGTAAGTGGATTTCCTGAGCCGCAGGTTCGAGACCTGCCCGGGCAGCGAGACCTCATCTCTACGATAAATCAAAAAATCAGCCGGGCGTGGTAGCGCATGCCTGTAATTCCGGCTACTTGGAAGGCTGAGGCGGAAGGATCGCCGGAGCCCAGCAGATCGAGGCTGCGGTGGCCAGGAGTGGCCACCGCACTCCAGTCTGGGCGACAGAGTGAGACTCCAACTCAAAAAAAAAAAAAAAAATTTATACACAAATGTTTATAGCAGAATTATTCATAATAGCCCCAAATTGGAAACAACTCAAACATCTATTAACTGATGAGTGGGTAAACAAAATGTGGTATAGCCGTATAATGGACTATTATTTAGCCACCATAAAAAGAAATAAAGGCTGGGTACAATGGCTCACACCTGCAATCCCAAGCACTTTAAGAGGCCAAAGTGGATGGATCACCTGAGCCCAGGAGTTTGAGACCAGCCTGGACAATATAGCAAAACCTCATCTCTACAAAAAAAAAAAAAAATTTTTTTTTTAATAGCTGGGAATGGTGATGTGCACCTGTAGTCCCAACTACTTGGAATGCAAAGGTGGAAGGATCACCTTAGCCCAGGAGGTCAAGGTTGCTGTGAGCTGTGATCATCGTGATCATGCCACTGCATTCCAGCCTGGATGACAGAGTGAGACTCCAACTCAAAAAGAAAAAAAAAATACTGACATATCTACAATATGATGAACCTTGAAAACATTATACTAAGTGGAAAAAAGTCACAAAATTTCACATATTGTATGTACATTATATGAAATGTCCAGAACATGCTAATCTCTGGAGACAGAAAGTACATTAGTGGTTGCTTAAGGATAGAATTGGTGGGGGTGAGGGGAATGGGAAGCGATTGCTAATAGTTATGGAATGTCTTTCTGGGTTGATGAAAATAGTCTAAAAATTATTGTGGTAATGGTTGCATAACTGAATATATTAAAAACCATTGAGTTGTATACTTTAAGTGATTGAATCTTATGGTATATGAATTATATCTAAATAAAGCTGTTAATAAATAAACAGGGCTAACATTGTTTTCCTTCAGTGAGATGTAAATGAACTATTTTCATAATACTTTTACCTGTGAACCTAAACAAAATTTCTGATGGTAAAATAAAAATTTCTGATGGTAAAATCTTGAATACAGTATAAGTTTCCCATTGTAAAAAGAAAACAAACATCCAAGAATGTACCTTGAATTGTAGTTCAATTTAGAATAATTTTTGAGATGTGTATTACTGAATTTTTTATGTTTTGGTTTATGAAATTAAAGACATTAGTGGAAAAGATTACTGAAAGTAGTAACTTTGTCTCCAAAGTGACTTATTTTCAAATTAATGCAAAAAAATACATTAACTTCTTCAAACCTTGAATGGATTTTATTTTGAATTCTTACAGTGTATTTTCACCCTACGCTAGCCTCTAGATTGAGCTTTTGAAACTAGAGCATCCATGAATAGATTTTATGAGTTAATAACCCCTGAAGTGTTATGATAAAATTTGCGTGTATGTATCCGAATGCATTTCTTGGAAGAGGTACCATATCTTACATTGTATTCTCAAAAGTGTCATGTCCAACTAAAGATTAAGGACCAATACAGGAGTATATAGAAAATGGGAAAGAGAAATATGAATTCATTTTTTCTTATTTTATATCAAATGAGGCAAAACTAATTCTAATTTGCTGGGTCTGACCTAAAATAGTAGTTAATATGGTAAAACCTTTCAGGATGTCCTATCTTGTCCTTGAAAATGCACTTAAAAGGCTGATTTTTCTTGTTAATAATTTTTAAACTATCTGTATTTTTTTAAAACTTCTGGATGACATTTTAAAAAAATGTGTTCCAGTGGTGGTTGACTCTGATGGGAACCATATTTTGGGAACACCCCTGAATCTTTGCCGTGAGACTCCAACTTTAAAGATGAGCTTAATGATATTCCTTAAATCAGTAAAACCCCTGTGCAGCTGCAGTTGCTATCTGTTCATTCATTTCCAGCAGGAACGGGTGTGCATGAGAGAGATAAAGTGAGGGATCCTAAATTTCTCTGACTAATGATGTTACAGAACTATGTATGCAAATCACACCCTGCTGCACTGTAAGAACCTGAAATTTCTAGGGTCTCAGATTTATCTTTAAAATAGACATCTAGAAATCAGAAATATTGCAGCCTCACTACATTATCTGAACCCTTTTGGCAGCCATTGATAAGATTAATCTAAATCAAGTTCTCTGGACTATTTAAAATCAACTTTCTGTAAGAACAGAGTAGTCCTTGACTATTCTTGGGACTGTTGGTGCCATCTGTTTATCTTGCCAGCATATATATACATTTTGAGATGAACAGACAAGCTACACTGCTTCCAGGCAGGACAGCAGCATTGTACAACTCCAGGGGAAACCATTCATACTATGTACCAAGGGGTTGTCATCTACACAGAAATAATATGAATGGCACTCCCTAGAGTTGTACAATACCTACTATTGTTTCCAGGACTTTCTGTGTAGCAGAAAGTTTTGTTTCTTGCTGTATCTTTCCAAATGAAAGTTGACAAGAGTAGTGGGAAAATCTCCATTTCGATATTCAATCCAATGGGACCAAATTTTTAGGAAATGGTTGCATTTTGTTTGTTTTTTTTAGTATTTTTTTCTAGCACCCCTAGAAAAAGGAATATGAGAAAGAGAGAGAGAGAGAGAGAGAGAGAGAGAGATGAACAGAGCTTTTAATTCTTGTCCAGATTTTAAGACATTTCAATAGAAATATTTATTCTCTTTCACCCAACTTAAAGCAACCTGGCAGAATGAGTACCTGAAGCCATCTCATGAACAGAACTCATGTCATCAATCTTGTGCAAATTTTCAGTATACTAAGGGTTATTCTACCTTCTCTAAGAGGACACAGAAATAGTTGCTAATTCTCGTCGCAATGTGATGGCCCTAGGATGGGGTTAGGGTAAAACCTTCTCCAATCAAATCATGAATAAACTTGGATTTCCAAAGCTGGAGAGGTGTTGATTGTAAATTTTGGCAGAGACTGTTGGCTATCCTCTGAAGTTTCTGTTCTGTAGTAATAACATTTAAATTTTTAGATGAATATGTAGATTTTCCCAGAGTATACAATATATTTGTCAGCTTCTCTTATGTCAAGTCCTGGACATGTGACTAAGTTCTAGACAATGGGATGTAAGGGTGTCGTGTGACAGCTTCTGAAAACCTGTCTTAACCATTGGATGACATGCATCCTTGTCTCATTTGTTTTTTGTCCCTTCCTCCATCTTGCTGTCTGAGTACAGATATAATGGCTGGAATTCCACCCACTATACTAGTCCACAAAGACAAAAGACCTGCCCTGGAATGGGCAGTAGTGATGAGCTTGACTTTCTAGGGACCTCATGCAGCAGCATTGCCATTCTACTTTCCAATAGCCATTTATGTGAGAGCAATCAACTCCCATTACAGGTAAGTCAGTGTTATTGTATGTCTTTATTCACAATAGACCCTAATCTGAATTAATGCAGTTAGAGTCTAAGAATTAGTAGATTTGTTTTGTTTTTGTTTTCTCAGTGCTATAGGTAATTCTAATAAGCAGGCTGTTTAAAGAATCCTGTCTCATTAAACGATGGTTTTTTTTTTAGTTGAAGTCTCACTCTGTCGCCCAGGCTAGAGTTCCATAGCACACTCACGACCACCCCAGCGTCGCCCTGCTGGGCTCCGGCAATCCTTCTGCCTCAGCTTTCCAAGTAGCTAGAACTACAGGCGTGCTACCATGCCCAGCTAATATTTTTAAAAATTTATTGTAGAGATGAAGTCTTGTCAAGTTGCCCAGGCTAGTCTCAAACCCATGGGTTCAGGCAATCCACTCGCCTCAGCCTCCCAAAGTGCTGGGATTATAGGCTGAGCTGCTGAGCCCGGCCTTAAACAAAATTTATTTTTTATTTTGCCATTGTGATGTGTTTTCCAACTTAATGTTGAATTACTCACAAATTTTTATATATGTAATTGTTGCAGGCAGATGGAGATGCACACTAAACCTGAAAATAGGGCTTTAAGTCAACATTTAGTAGAAAATAGTCTCACAGGCCTACTTGAACCTCAGATTAACTGCTATTTAATTAGAGATTAAAAAAATACTCATCAAGAAAATAAGAATTATCAGAAGGAGAGGTGGTCAACAGTGGCATAGAGGAAAAGAAGAGAAATTTGAAAATCAGTATCTCTCAGCACTGCCCAAAAGGGAGGCACTGAATCTGGGGTGCACTGGATTGCATAGCTCTAAAATGAGGTGTCTACACAGAGAGTGAGAAAGATCCCTCCTAGAGATGCAGGCAGTAAATATTAGAACTACTATTGCGACTTATTTTTATCTATAAAATAAAAAAATAATCTTAATTAATATTTTGGGGGCAGACATGGTGGCTCACACCTGTAAATCCCATCACTTTGGAAGGTTGAGGTGTGACGATTGCCTGAGCTCAGGGGTTGAAAACCAGCCTGGGCAACTTGGCAAGATCTCATTTCTACCACCACCAAAAACAATAAAATTTAGCTGGGCGTGGTGGGGCACACCTGTACTTCCAGCTACATAGAAGACTGAGGTGGAAGGATTACTTGAGCACAGAAAGTTGAGGCTGTGGTAACCATGATCATGTCACTGCACTCCAGCCTGGACGACTGAGTGAGACTCTGACTCAAAAAAAGAAAAATGTTTGTATGTGTGTACCAATGTACATTGTTGCTCTCACCAGGCTGCATCTCAGACAGTTATGTATCAGGAGTGAGGTTTCCTGAGGAAGAAGGCAAGGTCAAAAATTCAGAGGC